CTTCCTATTCGACTTTTTTAAGTCCCACACATATTTCTACATTCTACGCTTTACAGCTCTATTACATCATAATCAGTCATTCATTAGAAAGAGATTAACTGCCGATTCTCGAAGGTAAGTTTTTCTGTAAAGTTGATTATTAGTAAGATGTGTGTCTGATTACTGATAGTGTGACTCTTACATTTACAGTTTTTAGCTAATGTGTAAATTACTAGTAGTTTCATAAATATTAATCGCACCAAAGTTCGTCCACGGTAAAGAAAATACATGTTGAACAAGTTGTACGAAAATACGCAGACACTGATTTTTAAGAAGCGCTCCAAAAAGGCCAAATATCGCAACACGTGCTCTTAAAAAAATCAGGACTTCCTAACTAGATCAGATGGTTACTTGACACTTTTCCACGGTAAAAACAATGCATTCAGGTACTTAAGTATGAGAGTTGCATAAAAATACTGAGAAACTGATTTTTGAGAAGCCCCCACAAATGACCACATTTTTCTGCTATCTCGTTTAAAATTCTCCTGTTCTTGTACAGATACGGTTAAAACTCCCTTTTATAATATGTGCAAATATATCGATGTTACCAAATTTAAAAATATGCTAAAGAACTGAATTAGCTGCTTTATACCGTTTTATTCGAATTTGTCCGAAAACCAAAACGTGTTGAAACGGCTCCTGTCTATATCTCTTACGATTTTCGAAGTAAAAAACGTTTTTGATGACAAACCTTAAGTACTTAAGTATAATAAAAAAGTATGAGAACATAAAATCGAATCTTGTTATCATTAACAAAGGTAAATGTTCAATACTTATGTGTGACATTTGTATCGAAGCACTGTGCAAATTTGTTTAAACATTTTTGTTGCACCCGGAATAGCTAATTTTGGTCAATTCTAATGTGGGAATAATTAATAATACTAGTTAACAGCTATTATCTGGTGTTAACAGAAGTAGAGTAAACCAATGCTTGGACCGTGATCCCCAAAAGAAAGTCCAATGGGTTCAGGTCGGGAGACCGGGATGGCCAGGGAATTGGACCGCTCTGGCTACTACTACTTTGAAACTTTATCAACACAAAAACTGTTTAATATACATATTCCAGAGCAAATAGAAAAGAACCATCGGACTCACCCTGTATATAAAAACACATAAATAAGTGAAATGATTAAGAGCATTGAACCCGCAACAATTTCTCGTCTTCAAGAGAAGACTTACTTTTAAGTTACCTGCTACTGCGGACCAGGCATGACTAATATAATAAGGGCATTTCTAAATCGCTTCGCAGACACAGACTATTGAACTTTAGACCAAATCAAATTACTAACCTACCCCACCCAAACACACCCCGAATTGCATAATGCCCAGCCGTTTTATCGACCATTTCGCCCTTCCGAATGCAGAAAAAGGGACAAAAGACAGGATCCATGGCCTGCACATTCATTCTATCTCCTTTACACTCATTCTATTGCGTCCCAGACACCGTGGCTTTAACGGTTGCAAAGATAGAGTGGGGGAGACAAAGGTCAAGGCCCTTAATCACGTGTTCGACCGCAAGGTCATCGGGTGCAAAGGCCCTAAACCGGCCAAAATCATACAGAAAATGCAAATATCTGACAAACATGTATGTAAAGATACTGCATAAACAGATAGGAGAATGACAGTTTTATTGATGACATTACGGTGGTTGCTACGCAACGTCTAAAAATGCACCTAATTACTATTCAAGTCACCACAGCTTCAGTTTTCACGCATACTGCGATTAAATTTTGTTTTATCAATTGAAAACTGTTTTATTCCAGTTTAAGATAAAACATATCATAAATTATCAGCTAAATTCAATAAGCTTGTGATAAATACCTTTTCTACAGCGGTGCGACTTGATAATCCGGTAATACCGACTTTTAACACAAGACACAATTATAAAAGTTTTATTGTCAAATGAGAAAATAATTCGTCAAATAAACGTCACAGTTTATCCAAACTAAGAGGATTATGAACGAATTTGACTAGAACGATGAGAGACACTATAACTTCGATTTTTTTTTGAAAAGGGAATAAATGCAGGACAAAAAATATTCACGAAACTGTCGGATATTACCGAATACCGTTTCTTTGTGCGAACCGGTGGATTTGTTTCCTTTGACTGATTCGAGCCTGGTGTGGTGAGTCCCAGCCATGGAACGGCTTCAAAGAAATTTGAACTGTGCGCGCATTCACGAAGGTAACATAGCGAAATCATAGAAATGAGGAGCCGGACAATCTTACATTAATTTTCTATGGAAAATATAGTGAACATAAAAAGCAATATAACATACAGGGTGATTCAAAATTGGCGTCATTCCTCTGGGGATGTTGTCTGGCGGTGTTATAGGAGTACAGAAAGAACTAGTAAGAGAAATTAATCGTAATTATTTAAAATTCCGGTAACCATGGATAAATAGAGAGTGACAATAAGATAGACATGGATAAACGGTAAATTCAACAGGAATCGTTGAATGACGGAACCTATTTCGAAATGTCAACCTGTTCTCATAACCTCGAATTTTGCGGGGTTCGGTGTTTACATAAACAATCCATACAACACCAAGCATTTGAATGGTTAACTCCAAACTAGCTAGTGCCTGTGTAATCTCCTTATTATCCACTCTTATCAAGCAGCTTCTCGTATTCAGTTAATTAACTCGTGCTCCATTTGTATCTCCTTGTG